ATTCGGCTGGGCTGCCGGTACGGTATTGGAGCACATAAACTGGCTTCTTCTTCTTCGTCTTCTTCCTCTCCATAGACAAACCATTCGTCCCCCCCCACAGACCAGTCCGACAGTCCACCATCATCACCTAACCCTCTCCCTAGGCAACCCCCCGAAGTGCTGCTGTCTCAACCTGCGATTCCTTCAAAGATCCTGCCTGTAATATCATGTAAATTACCAGCATCACCCTCACAAGTTTCAAGATAGTGCTTCCAACCCCTAACCACGATGATTTACATACTCCTCCCTCCCTCCCCCCCGTGCTTCCATCCACCATCGCCAGATCCCTCGTGGATCACGGTATCATATGCCTATAATCACCCCGACTTGCATCCGAACCCCATGCATCCCAACCACACAAAATATCTCTGGTGCCATCACCTGCTGTTCTCACCATCCGGGAATTGTTGGGTTAGGCTTCAGGCCAAGGATTCCCTAGAAATAGGGGGCCCCAGGGTTGGGGGGAGTATCTCATGCCATACCGGCATGATACTCGAGTACACCGATAGCTTAGTTACCGTAGCTGGCGCATACCGGTACTCGAGTAGACCACCATGTGTTAGAAGAACAAAATAAGTTTCAACCAACCCATCCCACCATCCCCTTTCCACCCGCTCAGTACGTTCTGGTGCTGTGCCGTACCGTACTCGAGTACTCGTACAGCACAGCACTCGTTCGAGGGTACGGTAATCGTATGATACATGCTCCAAAAACTAGCCTCTTACCACCACTCTCCATCTCCAACAAACGTCCCATCCCCACAAACCCCAACAATCCCCATCGAAATGTCCACGCCCACCCCTCCAACCCTGCAAAAACCAAAACATGTAAAATACTGGCTCCGCTGCTTGAGAACCTGTCTGCCGACTGACTACACCAGCACAGACCTGAACCGACTGACCCTCGGGTTCTTCTGCATCGCGGCTCTCGACCTCCTCGGCTGTCTGCACACTGAGACGACGGAAGAGGAGCGCGCGGGATGGATCGATTGGGTATACAAGAACCAGTTACCCGCTGGAGGATTTCGCGGCAGCCCCGCTACGGACCTGGGCGAAGGGGGCAGCGGTAGCGAGTGGGACCCACCGATTGTCCCCGCCAGTTTCTTTGCACTCGCGACGTTGGTCAGCTTGGGCGATGGCCTGGGACGTGTGAAGAAGAGGGCGTTGCTGGAGCTCCTTCCAAAGGTGCAGAGGAAGGATGGGAGCTTCGGGGAGTGGTTAGGTGGCGATGGGCAGATCATTGGCGGGAGTGATATGCGCTTTGTGTATTGCGCTGTCGCCATACGGTGGATCCTGCGAGGCAGGGAAGGGAAGGGTGTGGTTGAGGGGATCGAGGACATTGACGTGGAGGGGGTTGTGAGTTTCATTAGATCCGCCGAGAGTCACGAGCATGGAATTTCCGACAAGGCGTTTGGGGAGGCTCATGGTTTCTTCCCTCTTCCTGTGCTGGAGGGTGGGATTGGGGCTGACGAGCGTACACAGCGGGATTGACGTACTGTGCCATCGGAGCTCTGGCCCTGCTGGGTCGACTGCACCCCACCTCCGATGGACTCTCCGCTCACGCGAACATTCTCAGATGGCTTACCTCACGCCAAGTACCTTCACAAGCGCAGGACGAACTAAGAAACGAGGAATACGTGCACCAGATAGCCAATGGCACGGAGCAAGAGATCGCAGCTGGGGCTGTAATCACCTACGGGGCGGATGGAAAGCCACTCTGGGCTGGCTTTAATGGAAGGTGCAATAAGCAGAGTGATACGTGCTATTCATTCTGGGTTTGCGGAAGTTTAGATGTAATCCCCCCAACTTCCAACAGGCACCTGAGACTAACTGAGCCTCAGATGATGAGAAAACTCCATCTGATTGATTTCGACAGCAATCGGCGATTCCTACTAGAAAAGACACAACATTTCATTGGGGGCTTTTCAAAGCTACCCGTTCCCGGGACGCCGCCGGATATCTTACACAGCTTCATGGGACTGGCCAGCCTTGCACTTATGCGAGAGGAAGGGCTTAATAGGTTGGATCCCACGCTCTGTATAAGCATGCAAGCGAAGGAGCGATTGGTAAACATGGATTGGTGGAGGGGCGTGGCGGCGTGATTAACTGATTATCATCCTCTTGAGTGTATTTGAGGTATCCTGAAGATCGAGATTGCCCCTATGTAGCGTCCGCGGCACCATTCCACTATGATCAAGATATCACTGGTAAATTTGCCACGATCGGTTTGATGCAAAATGTTATTCGAGTGACAATTCATGATCCATGTCCAATCCCTTTGAAAGTAAAACAACTGGGGTTAAAAAACATTAAACCTGGGAAAACCCTCTGCAGGAGAGGGAGAGGGGGAAAAAAGAAAAAGGCCGCCATGGCCTATTCCCCAGACTTTACCAACCTCCCCCAAACATGGGGCATGATCGTCCAGGGCTCCTCCTCCAAGTCCACCAATTCATTGGTCTCCCATCGCCCAGTCTTGAGGAGGATCTCACCCGTCCTCCTATTGAGGTTGCACCCATCGAACGTCTTCGGCCAGAGGATCTGATAAAATTCTGCAAAAACGCCCCGGATTAGCTCGCCCCACCGCCCTTATCCGACGCAACTTGCCCAACGTACCTTGCAGCGACGCGGAGACAGCACACTTCCCATTCCTAACATGTTCGTAAACCAACCACTCACCCCCCGGTTTCAACGACTCGAACAACGCACCCACAGCCCTCTCCATGAACTTTTCGTTCATGGAGCAGAGCACACGGACAGTGAGCACGGTATCCACGCTCCCCGCCTCAACGCCGGCAGCCCGCAGACCATCCACGTCTTCGGCACCGAACGGCAGAATGGTGTATACCTCCGTTAGCCCCTCGTCGTCGATCGCTTTCTGTAATTGCGCGTGCATGTGGATGTTGGGCTCCAGACCATAGATGTGTGTTACCAGTGGCGGGCGCGGGAGGAATTTCAGCGTAGCGCCGACACCGGGCCCGACGTCTAGGACTTTTCCACGGCATTTGGAGTTGATGCGGCTAATGCTGGGTTGGTCGTGAGCGAAGAAGAACCGGGTGCCAACGTACTGCCAGAAGAGGCTGAACCAGACATTGCGGAATGTTGAAACGGTAGGGGGGAGACAGAGGTGGAGGAATAAGGCTTTGACGCCGAATAAGGCGGAGAGGAGGATGATGTAGGCGGGTGCGAGGTAGTTTATTGTGCGGGCGAGCATGGCTGTTGTTAGGCTGGAGTGCTGGTAGTGGTGGTAGTGGTGGTGGTGGTGGTGGTGGTGGTGGTGGTGGTGATGGTGGTTAGAAGAGTGGATGGGGGAGTATTTGATGGCATTCCACCGGGTTTTGTGGCGGAGGGGCCGTGTTCGAGTCGGGTGCAAACTGGGCATTCTGTTCCGATATTGCGAGAACTGGCAAGTCTCCACAGTCTGACGGGTCGAGACTTGCTTGTGACGTCTATTCCCTGTGCGGGTACCCGCAGCGCGAGGATCTCGTGAAGCCGGAACAGACTGTATGCAGCCCGGATTATTTCGCCACCATTGACTAATGACTACCCGATTTGTTAGTGGGTGATTACAATTCTTCTGGGGCCTCGACCAGTGCTCTATTGGCGTTATTGTTCTGCTCAGAGGGAAAAGAAAAGGGAGGGAAGAGGAGGGAAGAGGAGGGAAGAGAAGGGAAGAGAAGGTTGAAATAGAATTGAAACCAAGGGGTGTAGAACTTCGGGCCTGTACGGGCTCATGTACAAACAGTTAATATCCAACAATCTCGATACCTTATCATACCGCATGATAATCCGTGAAGATGCGTTGGGTCCCCAGCATCCTGCGCTGTGGGGATCTCTAGGGTCGGAGGGTTGATAGAACCCGGCGGCCACAGTGGGTATATGCCGGTGGGATATGGTTTCTGATAATTCAAGAACTGCTTGGTGGTACGGCGTTTGTTCCGTTCCCGAGTGGAGGAGAGAGTGTGTGGTGGAGCTTGAGAACCGAGACAGCACCGTATGTGAGAACCTCGGTAGAATCAGTTCCAGCAAGATTCCAACAGAACACAGCGACCACCAGCGATCAATGCAAAGACCTGCCAGTTCTAGCGACGCCGGGACAAACTGTAGGATACCGTGGGGGGGCGATACTCTCATAAGATGTTGAGGGGAGCATTTCTCCGTGGCGCAGGGGGTCTAGGAATACGGTACGGTTCAGTAGAGGACGAGGGCCTATCGGCCGTGTCATGAGAGTTGTCGATAGAATTGGTCACGATGGGCCCATGGGCCGTCTGTCGTAGGCGGTAGGCACGTGTCTCACGGTACTACCGTAGTACCAGTACTTTGCGCTGTACAGTACAGTACAGTACTGGTACTCAGTTTCTCACCCGGTCCCGACATGGCACCGCAAAACAAAGCTGCTCCGGTAGGAGTTCGAAGGGGATGTCACTATGGTATCCCGGTATATGAGTAGTCTGCCCACCCAGAGCCATCCACAGCAGCGCACCGCGCGGTGGGAAAAAGGAAATGACTTCCTGCGCGGTTGTAGGAGTTTTGATCATAATAATACCATTATCATAATATGATTATTACTTTTGCCCTTTGACCTAACTTAGGTTATTGCCGGCTTTAGGGTTGGCCAAAAGCGAGCAAGGTGGTGGAAACATACCGGCATCTGATCGAGCTGTAAAACCCATGAAACCGGGCGGGGAATAGAGGGCCCTAAAATGCCTACTTCCGCCATGCTTTTATGTCTTCATTGGGGTATCATTTTGCAGCTGTTCCCCTCAAGCACAATCCCAGCCGGGGCAGTTTCGGGGTACTTGGGGATCGGCCACTGCGCAGCCTCGTGGGGGGAGTGGGTATGAGAGGCTCAACGTTTGTGGGGTTTGATGGGGTCTCTATGTGGGCGACAACCTCTGGAAACACTACCGATATTGATAATACCGGTACTTGTATGATATGATAATCTTATTATACCGGTATTATGATACGGCAGGCTGTAACCCTCGCCCCGATCAGACTGCCCGAACCCTCTGTCGGCGGTGAGCGGTGCGACAGACTCATATTAGCAACCCGGCAACATGGGTACAATACTTGGCCATTTATCAAGTATTGGGACACTTTCGCATTATTAACACCTGCCTGGGCGCTAAGCGTCCGAATACTTTATAAATGGCTGAGTACGTACTCAGCGAGATTTTCAGACAGAGAGGGCCCATCCGCAATGGATTGCGTACGCACGAGAACAATTAAAGATGGTATTGTGGCTGCGGTATGTGCTGAAACGTCGTACTTTGCCGAAGAGGAGAGTATTGCCATCTTGGTTTGGGTTAATGGTATGGTTTTGTGAACGGAAAAGGGTGGTCAATGCGAATTCGCCGTGAGGCCGTAGTATGGGGTGCACTTTATTTGAAGTTGTGATATGGGCGCGGGCCAAAAGGTGACAAGGGAAGCTTGTGTCTAAGAGTGATCGAGCGGATTCCATATAGTAAAAGTTATTTCTGCATAAAGAGCCTCACAAAATGAATAGGTCAGGGTATCATAGAAGAGAAGGAGAATACGAGTAAGGTTCGCCCCCAAGCATCATGCTCGACACACCCTTCTCCTTCAGGCCTTCGGGATGAGAAAACATGGGCGACCCAGTTATGCGATTGTCGATAGCCTCACAAGCGCCAGATTTGGCAGGAACTACAGTACCGGTACTGTACCCGTACCGTACTCGTACGAGTACAGTACTATAGTAGGTTGGGCCACGGACTTGTATCATAACCCGCCAACCGCGTTCCGGAAACTTTAAAGAAACCGAATAACGCGGTATTGGTTGTCCCCGTATGATGAAGTAGGGTGAAATTTGGGCGGCATCTCCCGGACCCCTGTATCATCAAAAAATCTCTGTGGTACTTGCGGATAGTCTATAGGTGTGGTTAGACCCGATCAAGCCACAGAGGACCCCAAAGTCCACAATGAAGTCTCTCGTGGAATAGCTTCACAAAGTGGTGCTACTAGTAAGGTATGTGGACCTGAACAGGAGGCAATGCAACAGTCCTTGTATGACAGGTTTTTTTTTCTTTTTTCCCTGGAAGGAATTCCTGGCAACCCGCAGCAAATGGCGAAGTGAATTGCATCCCCCTTAAGGGAAGGAGAGAGAACCGGCCCAATGACAGCCGGAGCGCACTGTGCAGGATACCGGCACCGTTTGAGAGCTTCCAACCGCCCTCCCTAATGCATACCGTAAAATTTACGGTATGCAGGCGCTCACAATTGAACGACGTACCGGTATGTGAACAGGACGACTATTGCATGGCGCTGAGATCTAGGCAAGAAAGGCGAATTCTGGATGGACTCGAGTACTTGAGTACACAGTAACAGCCATGTTCACAACCCTCGTTCAAATGCGGGCGGAAAGGAGTCGAGAGAAAACTTTGAGGGGGGAACAAAGGACCGTGGGCCGGGGGGGAAATTTTTCCATAGCGAAGAGGGCACAATTTCCCCACGGCTGCCCAGAAATTGAGCAGCATCATAGCGGCAGGTGGAGGGAGGGGAGGAGGGAGTAGGTGAGCCTGGAAGATTGTTGAGGAGACGGGGCGGCGGGGGCCCTGTGTACCGCATTGAGCAGTCAAGCGGGTTGGGCGGGCGGACTGGTAGTGGAGAGGACACGGGGCATTTGTGGCTATGGCAGCATGATATTTTTTACTATTTCACCAGTGGAAGGCAGGCATGCGTGGAGTGAAAAAAGGTATGACAGGAGAGAACGAGTAACTTATGGTAACTTAAATCTAGAACAAGAAATCACAACGCTCTCGGCATGCCTAATGTCTTGGCATGAATATGCCTAGGAGATCCATTTTAAGGATAGTGTTGCCTTGGAATGGAAAGGATGCAGCCTGCAACGATACTCGTACTCGAGTACCGTATCAAATTTATGGAACGGTGTGGTGCAAGTACTAGTAGTCTACTCGTACCGGGGGTTGTGGGTAGTCTAAGTCTGTCGAAGTCCCGCTCATTGGCTCCAGGGCCGTGTCGACCACTTAGAGAGCAGCATTTGCTCCAGCCTTGCTTCAGCCACTGTGCCAAGAGTTCAACAGACTTTTTTCCTTCACCAAACTGTGAAGGAATCCACCAATTATGTGTTCTTGGAGGCTTCCATACACATACAAACTCGGTCTATGAGAGCAAAGTTCGACAGACTTTTGCGCACACCCTAAGTACAGTACGGTGACTCGTTAGCTGTTATAGGTAGCTGCCACCGCGAATTACCGGTTCCAGGGCTGCACAGGTACTCGAGTACTGGTACTCGTATCACAAATACTTATCTGGATTCCTGACAGGCCTGCGTAGCAAGGGTGCTCGAACACCGTGGCCTATCGGTATGGTCAATGAGTACCGGTACCGGTGCCCGAGTACGGTTTAACCCAGTCCCGGCGTCGGCGAGATGGACGGATGGGTAGGTTGTGAATATCATAGAGTGCATATAATTTAGGTTGTCGGAGAGAGGTACCGTACTGTACTGGTGCTCAGGTTGAGCGTGAGAGAGGTGAAGGGGTGTGCTGGCTCGTAATTTACCCCAGCCGGCTTGGGCCATTCAGGGAGCAGCAAAAATCGTTGAGCCACTGTGGCCGGGGGAGTACAGTACCGTACTCGTACAGGGGGAGGATTCTCCCGACTCTTTTCCACCCTCAAAACATGCACCCGGGATTGGCACTTCGTCTGGTTACACTCACCAAATCTGGTCTATTGAAAACTGAAATTGCCCTCCCCGAGCAATTTATAGTACCGGTACGAGTACAGGTGCAGCATTGTTGTGCAGGCATATGCGGTTGTCTACCGGTACCTGAGTTGCTGAATTGCCGTAATAGTGCACCAACCTTGAGCGGTAGGCGGTACGAGTACCGGGGTGGCAGGATAAAGGTTTTAGGGGTTTTCTGGTCATGTTTTACAGGGTTTACCCATAGAATTTTCTGTTTGGGGTGAGGTTTAGCAGGTGGAAATTTTTCACCTGGAGGCATGGCCTTGCCTTCCTCACAGAGAAGGGAGGAACAGAGCATGAGATCCATCTGACACCACCTTCTTTACCACCTTCCTTGTTGTTGTTTTGGAGCTTTGTTTCCCCACTCATTCCCCCTTGCTTTCTCACTGGGTTAATTTATACTGTCAACTTTATCAGCATAATTCTATTCTCTTGTCTGATTTAATATCATATTATACAATCAACACAATTACACAGGTGTCAGCTCTGTCAATCACACCATCCAAGTTACGGAAGACAACAGAGATACTTCCACACCGGTAGGATGGGTTGATCATAGAGGAATTCGTAGAGTACTTGTAGAACTGAGCACGCATCGAAGCCCACGAATTATTCCTCCCACCGTACGCTACTCACTTCCCCTTCCTCCATCTCTGCCACGGCTGCAATCGCGGCGCATCCTTCGTACGCACGGCTCACCACTCCTCTCCTACAGTGCCCAGCCATATTTTCATCGAGCTTTCTGCCTCTCCCCCCCTATCTTATTCCCCTTTGCAACGCTGTCAGCCATTTGACCACGAGTTCTTTTTAATATCTCCCTACCTCCGCTTTTCTCTTCCATTCCTTAACCTCCCCTCCTCTTCCCCCCCCCCTTTCCTGCCTTACTGCTGTGGTTTCCTCATCAACCACATCAACCACAATGGGCGGCTCTCAGTCTGAGGACTCCTTCGAGTTCGTGGACACTCCACCGGCGTCGACACCTCAACCGGCATCTGATTCATGTGGCGTCAGGACTACTGATGTGAGTACCGTCCAACCCTCATGATAACCCCATGCCGTTAACGTTGTTTCTGCCCATCAATTGGGGAAGTCTGACGTTTCTACAGTATCCCGCTATCCCCAATTCACCTCTTCCTGCCGAAGGTTCAGGGAATGACTCTTGGTCCAACACGCTCATGTTTGGGCTCTTGCTTGGCGTTCCCTACTACTTGAAGTACAAGGTCGGCGGCGGATTCAAGACTTTTGTCTTTTTCGCTCTGATTGTGGATCTTCCCATCTTGGTTGGATTCTGGGTCGTCATGTCCACCTACTCGCCGAGGAAGAATGAGAAGGTCAAGCTCCCTGGGAAGGGTGTCGAGAATTATCTCGAGTTTCACAAGCAAGAAGATGCCATGAAATACAGGGGCAACACTAAGATTCCCATGGAGGTTTTCTACGAGATGTACTTTGAGGGCGATGTTTCCTTCAAGGGAGACTGCTTGGAAATCCTTGAGCGCCGTCACGACTGGGCCAGCTTCCAATTCACCAAGGGTCTCTTCAGACACTTTTTATTGGGCATGATTCCCGAATTGCTTGTGCACTCCCGCTCTCAGGGTAAGAATCTTGGGCTTTGTCGCTTGATTGTGGGATTGTGCTAACGCGGACAATAGACGAAGAACAGGTCCGTGACCATTATGACCGTGGTGATGACTTCTACGGTTGGTTCTTGGGCCCGCGCATGATCTACACATCCGGGCTTATTTCCGACATCCACAAGGAGGAATCTCTCGAGCAGCTCCAGGACAACAAGCTCAAGGTCGTTTGCGAGAAGATTGGTCTTGGGAGTGGTGACCGTATGCTCGATCTTGGCTGTGGATGGGGCACTCTCGCTCGCTTTGCTTCCAAGAACTATGGCGCCCACGTTACCGGTATCACCCTTGGCCACAACCAAACCGCATGGGGCAACTCTGGCCTCCGCCGTGATGGAATCGAGGAATCTCAGTCGAGGGTTTTGTGCATGGATTACCGTGATACTCCTGTCCCTGCTGGAAAGTACAACAAGATCACTTGTTTGGAGATGGCGGAACACGTTGGCGTCAGACACTTCGGAGCTTTCTTGAATCAGGTTTATAACATGCTCGAGGATGATGGAACCTTCTTCTTGCAGATCGCTGGTTTGAGAAAGTCTTGGCAATTTGAGGTAATAAGCTTTTCCAGTTCCGGATGTTTTGATCAGGATGACTAATGTGGGCTTCGATAGGACCTCATCTGGGGATTGTTCATGAACAAATATGTTTTCCCTGGCGCTGATGCTTCTACTCCTCTTGGTTGGTTCATTGATAAACTCGAGGGCGCTGGTTTCGAAGTTAAGAGTGTTGATACTATCGGAGGTAAATATCTTTCATTCCATGTTGCGATTGAACCCTGGCTTATGAGTTTATAGTTCACTATAGCGCTACTCTGTGGAGGTGGTACAGAAACTGGATGGCGAATCGTGAGAAGGTTGAGGCCAAGTATGGGAGCAGATGGTTTCGCATCTGGGAATTCTTCCTTGCCTACTCGAGCATCATCTCTCGCCAGGGTAGTGCTACTTGCTACCAGATTGTCCTCCACAAGAATTTGAATGCTTTCCACCGTGTCGAGGGCATTAGCACCCAATACCAGCTTTCTGGCGCTCTTTCCGTTAAGAGGGATTAGGGCTGTGCTTTGTTCTTGCATTTCAGATTTCGGACGGTATATTGTTTCAGAATAGTGGGGCAGGTGAAAAAAGTTTTGTTAGCATACAAAGGTATATAGACGGCGGTAATGTGGCTCCTGTGGAAAGGTGAAATGGTCGGTGTTTGGAATTGTCGGTGAATACAAGTATATTCAATTCTGTAATGTTTAATACTGTAAATGTGTGAATTGGAGATGTGCCGGTCCTAAGGGATTGATCTTGCGAACTGGATCTATGATTGAATCAGGGGCTTGGCATCATAGGCGATAACATGGCGTTTGTCGAGGTTCATCCTGCGGTTCACAGCACCGACGCTAATTTGACAACATGTGGAGTTGTGTGAAATTGGCTTCTCTTCCCTTGTGAATAGCGGTTACTGTTATTAAATTTTTATGCTCGGGCGTGGTCCTGCAGTTTACAGCATGTCATTTGTAAATTAGAACAGGTGCAGAAAAAAAGCTTTGAAGCTGGCAACAAGCACTACAACTAGTACGATCTTGGCGACAAAATTCGTCGGCACCTTGGCGGCTAACCCCATCTCCACACTGGCGAACAAACTATGGCAACTACAACCCCTCCAAAGACCTCCCCCCACAGCGAGTGGACAACACCTGTCCGTGCAAGAGTACTTGAGCGGCTTTCACGTGGGTACAATAAAAGTGAAATATTTTGTCAAACTGGGGTTCCTCGGCAAACAATTCAAGAGTGGACGCAAAAACTGCACTCTCGGCGTACTGGTAAACAGCGCTCGGGTTGACCACACCTACTCACACAAAGTGATGTTCGGCATATCATATATGTCTTACGACACAACTGGGAGGGAAGAAGGCTGTGTTGGAGAAAGTTAGCTTAAGAGTCGGGATTCAGTGTTTCAGGAAGGACAGTTCAGCAAGCGCTAGAGGCTGAAGGATATATATGCTGCAAAGCCTGTAAAAAGCCTTTTATTAGCCAGGATACCCAAAAGGCACGTCTGACCTACTTGATCGAGCATATCCAGCAGCCGAAACAGTATTGGTGGTCTCACATTTACGGCGACGAGGTCAATTTCGATACATCCCACAGAGGCTCAGTGTAGGTAACACGACGATCAGATGAGTGCTACTACAAGGACTATATTCAACACACTTTCAATAGCGGTCGTGCGTTGGTGCCAGTCTAGGGTGCCATTAGCTACAACTGGAAATCCCCGCTTGTCTTCCTTGAGCCTACTGGAAAGCGTGGAATCACCTCCAACGACTATCAACAGCAAGTCCTTAATCCTATCGTATCCCCTGCCTTTCATGACCACCTGATTGGGTATTCACCATCTCCTGATAGTCAGTTTGTGGAAGACCAAGCACCGTGGCATGGTACCCAGAAGGCCTTAGTAGAGGTTAACAAAGAATTAGGCATACCGCTTCACAAAAGACCCCCATCATCACCCGACCTCAATCCTATCGAGAATGTATGGAGAATTCTAAAGCAGCATATCAAGGCGCGACCCCGGTTTCCTGGAACCTATGATGAGATGAGAAAGGCTGTGCAGGAGGAGTTGGGAAATTTGTAGCCATCAGATTGGAACTCATTAATTGATAGCATGTTTCAAAGATTAAAGGATTGTAGGGAGCGTCATGGTTTACAAACAAAGTGGTAATTTTCTTTTGCATGTATACTACAACATACTGTATGGGATGCTCAGGAAATGTCAAGCTTGTGTTGTAGTGGGATAATTGTTACTTGTATATCACCCCGGGTGCCGACGAATTTTGTTGCCAAGCTCGTACAGTCGTATCTGACAAGTCTATGTACCCTGCTTGGCAATGCTGCTACCACTGATTACCTCAATATCACCTCTGTAGTACTATGCTACGACCACACTCTCAAACTTCCAGAGAAGATCAGATGAAGGAAATATATGCCCTATATGAACATACTGAGATGAGGTATGGAAAAATTTCAGAGCTTATGAATCTCTCCAAGTCAACTGTTTATATAGCAGTCGAAAATATGAAATTCAGGGATGGAAACACCCCTGATGCCCCTACATCTGGCAGACCAACCAAGATTACTGATACCAGAAAAGGTAGGTAATTCAGATATTATCAATGCTGAGCCTCATCTTATACAATGAGACATTACCTAAAAGCCAGTATTATACTTAGTAAAGATACTATTAGTAAGATATCTGGAGAAGCTACATCAGTAATAATTTACTCTTGCGTCCTGCACATCTTGTGCGTCTGACACACAGAGCGCACAGGATGCAAACCATTAGTCAGGATGTCGGCTGAATTCGTTGTTGCGTCCTGATGTTTGCATTTGCAACCTCCTGCATCCTGACACTCACCAGACACATGGGACTCCAATCCCCTTGTGTTGTGACCCTTTGCTAGCTGGATTCTGAGCATCCTGACAATCCAGGCCCTTTTCCCCCAAGCATCCCGACGCTCCTACTACTCCTGCCTGGTGTTCTAACACCCTTACTACTTCTGGCCGCTATCCAGACACTCCTGGACCTCCTGCCCAGTGTCTTGGCCATCTGGCCATGCCTGCTTTGCCTCTGGAGAATCTCTGCTGCTTCCGCCTCTCACTGTGATGCCCATCAAGCCTCACCCTGCATTCCAATCCTGTCTGTATAAAGCCAATTCTGTTTGGATAACCTAATCTATATCAGTTGCCTTCTACTGCATGTCTTATCTGCTCTCCTCCTCCTAAGTTTCTGTCCCTATTCCTGTGTCTCATGACTTCGAAGAACTACATGTATGTGCCCCAAGTCCCATATTACCCACCTCTCCCATCCTGATTTTACGCTTGTATTTGACGACATTGGGATTTTCTTGCTATAATTGGAACATACTCCATATGTTGTGAGACCTTCGGTAACTACATCCGATTACAATTTGGTCTTGATATGTGTTGCAAATACGCTATTTACTATCGTACAGCATCACATTAGTCCACCATTTTACTCTATTAAGTACACTAGGCACTATTGAAGCTTGTGATCCGACTGGCACCATCAGTACACATATGGACTCCGTCAAGCCCACTCTTGATCCCGGTCCCACCAACTTGTTGCCTCCTCTCTCTTAATTGAAATTGCCTTTCTGCTGTCCTTTCATAGGCGTCACTTGCCCTGACTGTGAATCATTCAGACTAAGCAAGAGGCGCGATAAACTACATGGACTCGCCATGCTCCCTGATGTCAGACATCCTATCTGTTTCTGTGTATTACCTAGACTATCCTGTTCAAAAGCATGGGAGCTGGGAGTCTATCCAATGGCCATCTAGCTAAAATCAGAAGCAACCTCGTGATGCTGTAACTGTTTCTGGCTGCCCTGGTGTCCTAAATAGGCTTCTAAAGAGTAGTCAGTCATTGTCTGTCTACCCCAGAAGGAGTGGCTTAGAGCCTGATTGAATTTCCTGTGCTCAAGGTCCACACTTATAGTCTTAATATCATTATTATACCCTTCTACCTGATGATTCTGAATCCCGTATCGTTGGTGGAGCTGTTTGGTGATGATTTCGTGGATGATTTAGACTAACAACTCCTGGATCTGTGTGGGTGTTAGGGGGTAGGTAACTCTAACGTCAAGTGAGTATCTACTAGGCCCTATAATCTTCTGTCTCGGGGATAGTCAAGAAGGCTCGTGAAGATAGAAGTCAAGTAGAACGAATATATTGATAAGATCTCTTCTCCGGTCGCTGAGGATAGATGTAAAAGCTAGGGTATTTTTTTTTTTTTTTTCTTTGTTTGACTCATTTTGTATTTTGTTTATGGGACAAAAACGGCATATGGAGCGCAAGCTATGACGCCTAAAAAACCACCCCCCCCTGGATCAGGCCAAACGACAGAGCTAAAAGAACCCTCCGGGGTAGAAAAAAGTACTCCTGCCCGAAATCGTTCCTGTAAACTATGAACCAATAACCCCCACCGCCGAGCGACAAAAGAAAGCTAACTACCCGACAGTGAACCAAGAATGCGTCCAACCCCAAGAATGAAACACCTAATGGCAGAAACCCAAACCGAACTCCTGAGGGCTAATGGCCACAACTCAAATCCATCAGAGGAACTCCTAGGCCATATGACGAAGGCCAGGAGGATGGAGTTGAAGTCGCGGGTGCATAGGGTATAAGAGAAACCACCCTGAAGGCGGCGACTGAGAAGCGAGGAGAGGAGGTGTGTGGCAGGCGTGCCAGCGACTGTGTGTCCTCTGGGACAATCGACGATTGAGGCAGTAAGGTGCCAGCTTGAGAGGAGGTAGTAGTAGGGTACCAGCCAATCCCACTGTGGAGAGGAGCGCTAAGCGAAGCAGGTGTTTTACCACGTCTCTCATGTAGTCCCTTGTTCTGGGAGAGATAGCGTCACTATAGTGGAAGGGATCCCACCACCTGCCAGCCAAACAGGCCCCAAAGAGTAGAGGAGGGTAGACCCAAGTCCGTGACCGACAACTATCAGTAACCATGTTGATGTCCGACAAGGCAACCTCCTACGGGGGCAAGAGAATGGAGAGATTGACCATAGCCGGTAAGCTGTTCTCTCCTACTGCAAATGTAGTCCCGGCTGTCTGTTGAAGGTGGCAAAGGGGGTTGCCGGCGGTGCCAACGCCTAAGCGAGGCGGGGTAGGAAGAGGGGAAACATCACGAAGATGAGAGGCCTCAACGAGGGATGGAACCGAGGGAATCAAAAAATAAATCAGGACCGCAAGGGAGAGGGGAAGTGAGCCCACCTCCTATAGCCGAGGGTAGATGGAGGGAGATAGGGGGGGGGGGGTGGTGCTAGACGATGAAAGCCACGATAGTAACCATGGTGTTGAATTTTCAATCACCGGAGGTGTAGGGGAGATGGAGGATGATTTAAAAGCTAGCGATTTGTGTTTTCTTTTTGTTTAACTCATATATACTTTGTTAAGGTACAAGAACCTGCATGGAGGGCTAGCTATGGCAAAAACAAAACCTGAATATCAAAAGCAACAAACAGTAACAAAATATCTCTCCGCCAACAATGCGCGCCTGTGAGTAAGACAACCCACTGCGCCCGCCAGGGTGACTGATTGCAAAGTGAAAGAAAAGCCTCCTCCTGCACAGAGAAAACATAAACCATTGGAAGTCAAGTAAAGTCAGGAAAGACAACAGAAAGAAAAGCCACCACTTCAATCTGAAACTAGGGTGGTGCCAGGCGAAGCCAGTCCCGCGCCAATGGCGGGGGGGAAACTGGTTCTGGTGTTGGAAATGTATCGCGCCAGGCCCCATAAGAGGTCCTTATCAGCCCATAGGCGGGCCCCTGAGGCCAACGAATCAACTTCCGGGAAATGGAGCAGTCTCGAGGAGGCCTTAGAGAGACAGGAGAGGACAGCATGCTGCATAGTCTCTGGCCCAAGGCCACAGGCGAGGCAGGTGGTGGGTTTGTCAGGTTTGTTCCAGGTGGTATGGGCAGCTAGATAGCTCTTTCCGGCCGGAATTTGATGTATTCTCCCAGCCAGGAAGCGGTCCTGTCCCATAAAGGGGTGTGGG